AAATAAAGATTGACGTTTATTGTAAAAACAGGTGTTTTCACAGGTTTCCTAATCCCTTAGCACACAGCATTCCTTGGCCCCCCACAAACCACAAACCCCTCTACACATTGCCCCCTGAGGTTGCGAAATGCTGGGTTCGCTCTTTTACGTAAGCAGTAAAGAGCCTCTTAGGTGAAGCAGAGACTGAGCCAAGAATTGAACAAGAGGCTGCTGAGTCCTCTGCTTTAAGACCATCACTTCTCTGTCTGTTAATGAATTTATTCACTACTCCTCAAAGTTAAGCTTTGTGTTCATGCATAGCATGGAACAGTTACTATGCTTTACAAAATTTATGTTTTCTATCCTTACACAATTTATGTTTTCTGTCCTCTTTGTCTACAATGTAAACCTTGAAATTACGTGAAGGATTCAGGTCCATGTTACGACAGAGTTTGACCCTAATCTCCTACGTATAGGTGCTCAAAGCTGTCTGGGGTGCTCTACCACATCCAGTGTTTCCTCATGTCTGGTGTATGTAAGGGATAACTTGCAGGAGACCCTTGCTGATCGAGACTGGCAGCTAGAGCCCAGACAGGACATGCAAAATCGTCTCAAAAGGCACTGGGAAGAGATTCAGTTGTCCAAAGAGAAGCCTGTGGAACCATTTTAAACAAATGTATCCTGCCCTTCGTGCTGTTTTTAGATAATTAACCAACACCCTAGTTGTCTCCATGTTTAATTCTGTATGTGAATTCATTATCCTGTGTTTACTGACTAGCAATTAGTCTTCTGCTTATATCTTATCTCTTTAAAACTCTCTATCTGAATTCATTCAGTGACACTCAAAACCAAGTTACAGCATTTAAACACATCTGAGAATTGCCAGTACAACAATCAGCAGAGTAATGGATTCACTAGCCTGTCAGAAGTTGCTTTAAACAAACCAACTAATTATGGGAAATTGTAAATGTAAACTTAGAACAAGGCTTTACTAGATCTTGTCTTGCTCAGTTAAAAATATCATGCGGTATAACTGAATAATGTAATTGAACTATAGAATTTGAATTCATATTTAAATTTGAACTCTAAATTTCCTCAAGATTTGGTGAGCCGTATCATGTGGGTTTAGTTTACTTCATCCATTATTAGTCTGCATCGTTTCAGCAAACTATCAGATGAAATGTGATTGCTTGTGTCTCAGTGAAGTAACAATATTACACTGTCTCAGGTGTTCATCTGCAAAAGGTGTATAATAATACCATGAAAGTATTAGCTGGTAAATGCATTTATTAATGGCAGTGAAGACCCTGTAAAATTGGAGAAAAAAAAAGGTTTCAAATTTGAAATATATTCTAACAAGCTTTATAGCACCTTGCTGCAGAGAGAGGCTGAAAATGATATAATGGATAAAATTAAGCTAGAAACTTCAATTAAGTTAAAAGTAGTCATGTGCAGGTAAAGAGTGCTGTCGGAGCTTCAAGATCTGTGTAAATTCAGAGTGAAATATTTGAAGTAAGCCAGATGTACCGCACTGCTTGAAATGCCCCTTCATTCCAGAGCAGTAAGGTGAGTAAGAGGAAAGTTCAGCAAAGAGTTACTGTCCAAGGGTCCAGACACAGGGGTTAGGAAAGCCAAAGCCTACCTGGAGATAAATCTGGCGAGGGACGTGAAGGGCAACAACAAGAAACTTTTCTGCAAGTGTAGCAGCAGCAGCAGCAAGTCTAGGGAAAATATGGTCCCGATGCTGAATGGGGACAGGGGACCTGGTGACAAATGACATGGAAAAGGCTGAGGTACTCAATGCCTTCATTGCCTCAGTCTTTACTGGTAAGACTGGCTTTCAGGAATCCCAGGCCCTTGAGGGCAGAGGGGAAGTCTGGAGTGAGAAGACTTACCATCAGTGGAGAATGTTAAGGAATATTTAAAGAGACTGGGCAGATACAAATCCCTGGTCTCTGACAGGGTGCACCTACGAGTGCTGAAGGAGCTGGCTGATGTCGTTGTGAGGCAGCTAGTGATAAGAGAGAGGCTTTCAGCCTGTATCACTCTTCTGGGGCTGTGTAGAGGGAGAAAACATGAAAAGATGCGCTACAGGCTAAATTTATAGTGAAGTACTAGCTTGAAGTACCTTCCTAGTGCCTGTATCCATTCCTTAACATCTGAAATTCTCTGAAATCTGACTGACTTACTCCTCCAGATCAGTCCTTTGCTGGCTTGAACTCCAGTGGCATATAAATAATCCCATTAGTATTTATTGCTTCTACAGCCTACTATGAGCTCTCTGAGTTTTGTCATTAATTCTTTCAGGTACGATATGCCAAGCAAGCAAGAAACAGACTTCACAAGGGAATTGCCTAAATTGAGGGATTCAAAACAGCACAAAATAAGAAACTGTCAAGTGATCTATCTCCTGTTATAATTTCAAGGAGATTCTGGGTCTAGGACATTGTTATCCTTGTTCCCTCCAAGAATGATCTGGTTGATGTTTGCCTGAGGGAGACATTGCATACAGAGGGATGCCCTGTGTTGCCAACTCCGAATCTGTTCCTTGTAGTGTTGCAATAGCAGAAAAGCATCCTCCCTCGTCTAGTGCTATTTATCTCTGGAGAACAGGACATCTTTGCTTTGCTAGCTGCCCAAAAATCACTTTGAAATCTAGATAATTTTTGTTCATTAAAAAAAAAAAATCCTATTGCAGGTAATACCTTTCAGTTCCCTGAGTTTTTCTTAAATGTGTATTACATTCTAGTGGCTTCTGACTCTGCTTTGACCTGAAAACACTTCCTAAGCTTCCTCTAGTGCAATCAAACTACAAAGGTGTTTCACACAGCTGCCCAGAAGCAGAAACCACTCCTTCAACAAGCTTTATGCTCAGGCATGTCTTACCTAAAATGCATCCTGACTTTAAGTAAAATAATTATCAACCTGTTGTAAGGATTCAGGACTGGAGCTTCTTCCCATTCATTCACATGTCTTGCTCAGTGAAAACTTTATCTCATGGCTTAACATCTGACTATTTCAGCAACGTCCTATGAAGCCACCATTAGATTGTATTTCTTAGATGGATGAGCCTGAGTGAAGTTTGCACATAGTTTACTGTAAATAATGTACATTACCTCTACCTGACACACAGACAAGTGCAAATTCACTACACAAGTCTATACCTGGACAAAATAATTGCAGCTCCTTACAAGATCTTGATAGCCTCTTGGTGTGGTGACAGGCGCAGAGGATTTTGTGATTCCTTAAACATAATTTGTGGGGTGACTGTGCTGCCTTGGCTGGTACCACCTTCAGTATGGGCTCGTTTGTTCATTTTGGCCACAGTTCATCTCATCTGCTGTTGTGGGGAGAAGATCATTCAGGGTTAACAGACCCTAATAATTCCTTCATAAATGGTCTCTTGGTCATGTCCAAAAACCTTTCCTGAGTTTCAATATTTGGAAGGAAACAGTGAATGTAGTTCAGACTGGATTTCCAGCTCTTAACACCAGGTCTTAACTTGCTGTACTAACAAGAGACTTTCATCAGGTTGCGTGAGTGTACCATTGCTGTGAGATGTTTAAAAACATAGGTAGTAAATACTCTTCTGTGTGTGCTGGGAGGCAAAGCGAGATAGATCAGGAAAACTTTGTCCTTGACATTGGTACAATTGTGTTTTGTAGCCCTGGTAAAGCAAATGATAACATGCTTGAAACAACAAAATAGCACCTGGAGAAGTAAGAGAAAAAAAACACTCAGAAAATAAATTTTAAAACCACACTTTTTATAAGCGAATTGCAAATAGGTAGTCAAAGCAGCCAGTGAGGAGCAGCAGAAAAAAAGCAGATGGGGAGACCATGAAGACATGCCACATCATTTGACATGAATTACACTCAGCATATTGTCTTTAAGGACTTTGTAAGAAAAGGACAAAAATCTTGCCTGACAATTTGTCTCAGATATAAAGAAATCCATGTTGTATCTATCAACAGAAAACTGAATAGAGTTAGAATCAAGTGAATGTGTTGTGGGTTTTTTTGATCTGAGTGGCCAGGTGGTTTCTTGAAGAGAAGGTTCCTGGGAAGCAAGTGAATCACTTGAGGAAACTGGTTCTTCCTCAACAAGGTGGGGTAACCTTCAAAGTAGGTGCATGCCCATGCTTTATAGATGGGAATTCCTGACATGAGACAGTGAATTCCACATGTGGGCCTGGAAGGATGACAATTTTCACCAGCATATAAAAACTTTGACCAAAGGTGTCTGTTTTATTTACCAGTTGTTTGGGCTGTTAAACTGTTACCATGTTCAGCTCCACTGTCCTTAGAATTGTGGCACTGAAGTGTCATCCAGGAATTAGAAATAGACCTGTGACTTTGAATTTGAGGAACAATTTTAGTTCCTATGTGAAACATCAGTAGATCATCACTCACAGTGTGTTGCCATTGACAGGTTTTGGTGACTAGTCTACCAGAAGCAGCCAGGTAATACCTGTAGTTAGACTGACTACAGCCTTGATAGTCTACAGCTCTCCTTTGCTGAAGTGCCTAAGTATGTTCATTTACCTCTGATTTTCATAGAATATATAGAATTAGGCTTACATTTTATCACTTTCATACATCTCTTGCTGTACTGAAGACTCACTAAGCTAACGCTTTCTGAATTCTTGTTGCATTTTACCTATAATATTGTCTTAGATCTGTCAACCCATCTAAGGGCAAGCCAATAGTTTTCTTCACGGGAAACACTAGGTGTTTTTTCTCAGGATCACGCACACAGACATGCATGTAGCCATGGAAGAAATAAAGTTCTTGCAGTGCAGCATCTTGTTGCCATTGTGGTCCTGAGGGAGGGAGGATCTCTGCTTCTTCTCAAAGATCCTTTCTGCTGCATGATGAAACTACAACCTGAGGGAAAGCTCCTCTAGCAAAACCTGCTGAAAGTAAACAAAAAGGTCATAAAATCCAAACCGTTGAGCCCCGTGGCTATTATTCAGCTGTGTTCAACTAGGGACCTAACTATTGTTGGTTTTGCTAATGCAGGATTCCCAGCAGGAGAGCTGCAGAAGCCTTTCTTTTGGGGAACAGAATATCCTAGGTAAGTACTGCACCAGGGAACCTCATACACCTGGAAATTAGGAATAACAGGGAAAGGTGTTGGAAATACATATGGACAAAGAAGAGGGCATGGAGAAGAAAACTACGCTGCTGATGACCAACAGGTAGTGCACAGGAATATAGTTGTTGTCCTTTTGCAGGGAAAGCTTGGCCCTTGGATTGCGTGTTCTTCCCTGCTTTTAATATTGAAAAAAAGGCCTTTGAAAACTGCTGCTTTGCACAATAACCTTTCTCACCCTTGGGAGCTCTATGTGTTGCAGTTCTCTTAACCTGATCGCTGATTTCTCACGGGACTTGCTAATTAAGTGCACCTGAGTGGAAGTGTTTCCATGGCAGGTATTAGAACGAATTGTAAGTCAGGTAACTAACACTTCCTGAAGAGACGTGAATACCCTGAGATGCCATTTGTTATCAGTTTATTGTTCACTTTCTGCTAATATCTAAGATTAACAGTGGGCCTTCGCCTGTGCCTGTTGAGGTGCATGAGGATATCTCCATGTGCATAAGTAATTGCCTGAGCAGGCCCATGTGCTACTGTAGCTGAGGTAGAGTAATTATAGGTCACATATATTTAATTTTGAAAAATCACTGCTTTTGTACAGTTCAATAGCTTTCTATTTTAGGGCAGGATAAGACTGTGAAAAGTTTCTGACCGTGATTTCTGAAAGTTATTTTGTAGTTACATAAAGCCAGTTACTGCTGAAACATATCCTTAATAAATCTTTGTTAAAAAAATCAAACTTTTCAAACATTTTGGGTTTGCCATCTTCCAATCTGGATATGTCCTTGTAAACAGGAAATTTGGCAGTATATGTAGAGAGACACATTCAATTTAGGAACAAATGAATTTGCATTCAAAGAGAATTCTTATGAGCCAGGTGACTTTCTAAGTGGTAATTGGGGATAGAAGAAAGTCCTTTCTTGTTAAGGTGAACTTATTTTCTGCTGTGGTTACTGCAGACCTGTTTCCAGCTTTGCTTTCTGAAGAGATTCCTCTGTACCCTGACCTTCTGCCATAGCGATAAAATTGTGGTTCTTTCAAAGAATTATACTTTGCTCATTTCTCTTCTTTAAAGGTTACCTTAGCTTAAATTGGTTTTGCTTGAGTATGTATCAAAATGAAATTTAGTAAACAAATGTAGCTGGTTTATATCAGACAACAGATTGCTTTTGTCCTTGAAATAGTCTGGATCTGTTTTCTGTCTGCTTAAAAGTAACAGTAAGTCGCACTGGAAGAGAAAAATCATCAAAAAGTCATCAGCACCTGCTGGAAAACTGCTTTAGCAAATATTTAACATTTAGTGGTGTTTTAGAGACCAGTTCCAGGACGACCACTATAAAACAGTTGCATCTATTTGCATAAAGGGAAACTAAATTATCACTTTATATCTCAGTAGGTGAAATAAAATACATTCAGATGCCATCATTCATGTTGTGAGTCTTCAGTGCCAGACATATCAACATAGAGACTTCAAACTACCCAAGTTGGTAGCTTGCTTACAGTCCTCTGAGCCTCCCCAGTCCCAGAAAGTTCCCCTTTAATACGGTACCTGTTAGGCTGCACCTAATCCGCTCTATCTCAGTCCAGCTGTGCCCTGATAGTGAACAGTATGAAACAGAGCTGGGAGCATATCTGGCAAAAATGTTGATAAGCAAGACAAAATGTTGAAGAGGGTTCACAGAAGCAAAGGCCAAAATTCACCCCAAACTTTATCCCATCTTTTGGAGCAGGGGAAAGCCCTATTGAATGCCTGGGCACCAGCCTGTTCTTTGTCCCTGCCACTCAGGGTGACCAAGCACCTTAGAGGAAAAATAAGAGGTATTTAGTAATAGGGCTTATTGGTTCTTCTTGAACTCTTTACATGTTTCATGCCATTCTTTTTATACTTCTCCAGCTGCAAAATATCCTGTATAACCACTTTACTTCAGACGTGGAAAACAAGTCTAATATAGTACATTTAGTATGGGTAATTATCACTGTGTGCTACACAAGATTGCAAATTTGTCACACAAAAGGATGACATTTCCATTGCTGAAATGTATAATTTTAACCAGCATTTTTTAGTGAAGGTTTGCAATAGTACTTGGTGGGGGGGACAGTAGGGGAGATTTTATCACATGCAAATTACCTTTCAGGAAAGAAAAAACCAACAAAATGAAGAATTGTCATGGAAGCAGGGGGAATTAAATGATATAATACTTTTTGGGCATGACTGAGATGAGCAATTAGTGTGCTATGGATCATTAGGTCCAGTAATAACATGTTACTTTAAAACCCTCTGCCTTTCTCCTATTTCAATACATGTGTAAGAAATACCATAAACTACTGTGAAGTATGGCATCTCAATAACTGAAATAATTAAAATCACAAAGAACAACCTAATGAATGAAAGATGCATTTAGTAGATCACTTTCCCCCATGTTATCCACTGCATTTGATATAAAAACGGGCCCTGAACCTTTCCCTCTTTCATCCCTGTTTCTCCCAGATACGTGTTTATTTGTATATAACGAGGGAAATATAATTAATTGTCAATCAGGAATATAAAATATTTCTTTCTATTATGTTTCTCCAGTGCATTAGATGTGACTGTAGATCATGTCCTATTCTTGGGCAGGTGCAAGGAAATTGTATGACCTCTTTTTTAAAAACTGAAGGGGAATCTGCTTAATGCTTTAAAAACTAGAGTCAGTCATTTGCAAGTCTGTTTGTTGCATGTCAGTGAAGAATGATTGGAGCTGGCATTTCAGAAGCCCATTGCAGCCTTTGATCTATTCTTTTTTCATGACGACACTAAGAGAATAATTTCATCTATTACTTTGTCCTTTTCTCAGAACAGACACAAGGCAGTCAGCTGAAGGAGACATTTTGGAGCTCATATGATGCTAATAAGGGATTTGGTTAGAAGAGTGAACCATCACAATGCTTTTTAAAGTTTTATATTAAACGTTGCTTTTAAGTCAAAATTGTGCAGGTGTGGTTTTTAGACCCATTCCCCCCAGTTTAAATAAATAATGATCTTTCCTGAGGTCTTCTGTCCTTTAATGTTCATGAATGTGGAGACTTTCTGAGGAAACTGCTTCTTTGTGTTACAGGTCATTAAGCTATGGTGCCATAGGAGTAATTGTTGGCCACGAGTTTACTCATGGATTTGACAGCAATGGTAAGTGTCTGTATGTATGTTGATAACGTTTTTTTTAACAGAGTTGACGTATTAGAAAGCAGCTTTGTATATGCTTTAGCTTTTTTATTGGCTTTGTTTTGTTTTTTAATAATGCTGAGTGTGAAAAAAATTATAAAATTTTATTTTTTAATTTATTTACGTGCAGTCTTGCTTGTCTGAGCCAGATTTTGTTTAGTAAGGAATGCCACAAGTCTGATGCTTTTTTGTTTATTTTGAATGGAAACTAAATCAGCAAGAGATTCAGAAAGTCCTGGCTAGGGGGAGTAGGAAGGGCAAAGATAAAATTTCTGATTGGTAACAACGATTTTCAAGAAAACTTTTCATTTCAATTTTGACTTTTTTCAAAAGACAATTAAGTACAAATATTATAATACAATACTGGAATAAAAGTGGAACAGAAAACATATTGCAAAATATTTAAAAAAAAAAAAAAAAAAAAAGGAGAGAGAGAGAGTGAAAAAGAAGAAATGATCTGAAAATGTCAAACCAGCTGTTCTGAAAAACTGGGTGGAGTGGGGCATTACCACTATCCAACTTTGGCTATCTTAGAAAGTGCTTTTTAAAATTGGGCTCCGGCAGGGGGGGGCATTAGGGAGGAGAAACACAAACCTCCTCCTCCAGGGAGCAATACTGAGTGTTTGACTGACGTCCTGCTCTGACTCACTGTCCAGAGAAACCTCTTTCCACTGAAGATATACGGAGCCAAAAGAAAAGCAGGCTTCTATATCACTGCCTAATTAAAGTTAGGTTGCTTACGTTGTGTTACTTTGAATACCTTTTGAAAAATGAAATGAAAAACTTGTATCCTGTTGGCACTGCTCTGCAACTTTTGTGTCAGCAAACACTCCAGAATGAAGAAATGTTTCTTTACAAACTACCATCTGATTTGTAGGAAAGTATCTAATCTCCATCATGTCTCCAGCCAGTCAGAGAAGAGCCTGAGATTTGATTCCCTAAGCAGACAGCTACCTCTTGCCTAGGATTTTACCTTCCAAATACAGAAATAACCACATATATAGGGAATTTGTCATCTTGAACAAGATAACACACAGGGGAAAAAGAAATAAAGAAATAAAGAGATGAAAGAAAACATCATCAATACTTGGCATCGTGTCTAGTGGTTGCTCCCTACCTCTCTTTCCTGCAGTCGTAACGATGAATCCACCCACAATAAGGCTGCATCCACATGGGCAGCTAAACCTCTCAAAAAAAGTCCTAATGTGTCTTGTGTCTGACTGGCTGGAGACATGATGGAGGGTATCTACTCTCCTACAAATGAGATGGAGCAGGGACCTGAGGCTGAATCTTCCACAAGATATTGCTGTAACCATCAGCCTGGGGAAAGGGATGTATATATTCTCCTAGCTTCCATGGATAGGTTTCAAATGTTCTGGGTTTGCACTAAGACAAAAAATGGAAACTTCAGAAGTTTCCATGAAATGGATTTTTTTTTTTTTTTCCTCTGGTCAAGCGTATAATTAATTAATAATAAATTAGTTATCATCAAGTTTGCAGAATCAGAGACACATGGGGCTGAGGATGAAAAATGCTCATAATTATACTTACAAGAAAGCTCATATATCGCTTACACTATGTAATTATAAAATGTACTATAGAACTCATTAGTCATTACTATTTTTTTTCTGAAAATGGAAATTATGACAATAAATAAAATGCCAGCTTTTCACCACTGATTTGAGTGGGGCCAAGATTTTAGTCACTGATCTTATCCATTTTGTCACACAATTGCATGAGTATATCCACCTCTCATTTCTGTGCAGGTGATAGATTCCAAAACTGGAAAAGTATGGGGTTTTCTCCTGCAGAAAAAAAATTGTTTTCTTTCTTTGTTTTTTTAAGGTCGGAAATATGACAAAAATGGAAATTTAGACCCTTGGTGGACAGCTGACTCTGAAGAAAAGTTTAAAGAGAAAACAAAATGCATGATTAATCAATACAGCAATTACTACTGGAAGAGAGCTGGCTTACATGTATGTAAAACACCCATGATTGAAAGCAGTGATGCATTAGGAGTTCTGGGGTTTGTTTTTTTGGGGTTTTTTTTAAGTTGTCTTTTTATAAATCCTAACAAACTGGGATATTAGGCTACCAACTTCATTTCTCACAATGAATCATTTTTTGAAGTGAATAATTGTGATAAAAATTGTCTGTCAGATTTGATTAGTCCAGTCAAATACCACTATCCACACCCTGGTGACAGGGTTAAACCACTTCTCCCCATCACATCATTTTGGAATCAGAGGAAGAGGATGAAGCCACTCAGCAGGGCTGGTCTAATTACTGTGAGCATGTTAAATGTCTTCTGAAGATGAGGTGTGTAATGAAAACTGAGCAGTCACTCTTTTTTAAAAAGAAGAATATAATAGCATGTTTTATAGATTCCTTTAGCAATTCCACCTGTTATTTATTACAGCTATAAAATGGATGCATAAACCCTACATTATTTCAGATTCAGCTCTTGCTATTTCTTCCATGTGTGCATGCAGAGCCAATTTGTATCTCAAATGAAGGGAGTATGATAGCGGTAGCTCATAGAAAAGGACTGAGAAAGTGCAAGGGAATGGTTTCTGTTTCATTGTCTATCAGAGCTATGGGATTCACTGAAAATGTGCACATTGTGTAAGTGTCCAAAAAGAAGGACAAATAAGTTAAATTCCAGACCTTCAGAAATCAATAGCTAAAATTCCACTAATGTTGTTTGGGACATGATTTTAATCTTAATTTTCAGGATAAAACACATACCCCACTCCCTACTCAATTTTACCACCTCTACTTACATGTTAGAATCAGAAATACAATTACGTCTTTGACTTTTAAGAATATAGAGGTCACATTGAATGCTTAGCAATAATTTTAACGCTTCCCCCAGGCTGTTTGTATTAATCTCAGAGATAACAAAGCCATGCTGTAGTCCAGTCTGAAGTCAAACAACTCAGATTTGAAGTACTTCAAGTAAGGTAATTTACAAATAAAAAAGCCTCAGGCTCATTCCTAAAATTGTCAATACAAAAATGCCACTTAAAGGTGGTCATTAAAACCTTCCTCAAGGATGTGACTGAGCCCTTCCCATGTTCCTGCCATTGGCTTGGCCATCTCCTTTACCTTCTACAGTGTCTCTTGAGATCGGACGGATCTGGATTTCCTCTCCAGTGTGGCTGCTACATTAGATGTCTTTGGATAAGCTTACTAGAGAGATTCTGTTACCCACAGCCTTGTCATCCACAAGGCTTTTACCTCCTATTTCCGTGGGATAACCTAAAGCACTTTTTAGATGATAGAAGAAGAATCCTCGTATTTTCTGCCATATTTTATAGCTTCTGTATGAAGAGCTATGCATGCAAAGAGCTTTTTTTTTGCCTGTCATTTACATCAATATTCTGCAAGTTTTTTATCTCTGTATGAATATTTTTCATGGATCAAGAAACCTATTTACTCTTCTTCTTTCTCATCTGGTTTACAATAAAAATGTCTCCAGAAAAGAAGCATAATGAAAGAAAAAGCGGATATAGAAATAGCTTCAAAGTGCAGTAATCACATAAAGTCATCTGATCAAATAAAGGATTTATCGTGGTCCCTTAGCCCTGTCATGAACCAGCTGCACAGAGTACTCTTAGATACCTGATCCAGAGCTGCCTGAGATGAGTGGAAAGACTTCTTCCACTTATTAAAATGACCTATAACCCAAGTGCCACTGCTAGGTCACTCTCATCTTAAATCAGTCTACTTCACAAGCCCACTGCCAGAAAAATGTATGAGTAGGCAGGCCAGAAAAAAGTCAGCTGGTGTGTTTGCATGTTCCCTGGTGTCCCGGCACATGTTCTTCTAAAAGACTCTCTCCCATCTCCATCTCCAGCCTTCTGAGGGGCGGGAGGGCTGGCAGGAAAAGGGTGCACTTCCTTCTACTGCTCCCATTTGTCCTTTATTATACCTTTGGGTGTAACATTGGACCCAAGGTATCAAGCAAGATGCCTTGAGTCCAATCTGGGTGCTCATCTGCGCTGAGAAGTGGGGCCATGCACACGTGCCTAGGTCCTTTTACCTCTTGTCCCCCGTTTCCCCCTCTTTTACCGCCCTGAAGCTAAGGTGAGTCCTGATACCAACCCCCCCCTATATTCATCCCTGCAGCATCGAAGAGCCTATCATCAGCGGATCTGCAGACCAGCATTGACCTTCAGAGCTCTGCTCAAAACTGTGCTCAATTACCTTGCTTATTCGAGGCATAGTCGAGAGTAAAACTGCTTAATGACAAATACAGTTTGGTAACTAAGGTCTTAACCTTAGTAGGCTGGGTGATCAGAGATAATGCTGCACTTGCAGAAATGAGGATTTATTCATAATGATATTGCACTTGGTCATACCAGGAGACTGGCTTTTTCACAAAGTTTAGATAGCACTGCTTCTCGCAATATATTCTTGTTGCTCTTGCTCTTGCTCTTGGAATCAATAGTGGGAAAAAGCAATGTGAATCTCCTTTGCAGATATTTTTAGAGCACTGAATATACTATCAATTTCAATTCTGTCTCTGACAGTTATTTTTAATTATGCTGGTTTATGTTATGACATAAAAGTTATTTTAGCATCCCGGTAGTATATCAAGGGTTATGCAGAGAAACAAATATAACCTTTTAGATAAAAGTTGAAGAAAGGGGCTACTGGTTCGCACATGTAACCAGATAAAAACAATCTTCAGGGAAAATTATTGATGCTTAGATCAAAGATCAGGGACTGGATTCTTGAGTGCATTTTATCTGCTACATTTTGTGCTACAGAGATCTAGGACCAGAGCCAGGATAACTCATCAAGGAGAATTGTTTGCTGACAGTTTTCACATTGGAACTCAGTTTTCTTAACGAGAGATATGATGGTTGAAATTGGCTGAGGTCGCTCTTGCCTTGTTTTATTTTTCCCTCTCTTTCCTGAAGTTGATTAAGAAGGAAGTTCAGAAACGAGTCAAATGACAGAGGTTCTTTCATTCTGCCAGGTGAAAGGCAAGAGGACTTTGGCAGAAAATATTGCGGATAATGGAGGTTTGCGAGAGGCTTTCAGGGTAAGTAGATGAAAAGATCTGAAACAGTATTATTTAAAAAAAAAAAAAAAAAAGAAAACCAAAGAAAAACCTGTGGTTAGCCTCAATGTTGCTGAAAGACAATCTCTCTTTCTTATCAGGCATACAGGAGATGGATTACAGAAAAGAGGGGAGGAGAGGAAGAGCCTTTACTGCCAGGCCTTGAATTCACACACAACCAGCTTTTCTTTCTGAGTTATGCCCATGTGAGTAGTACAAATGTGTTTCAAGTCCCCATCTATTAACCTGCACAATATGCAGTGCAGAGATGAGAATGCTTTGTTTCAACAATCTACATCAGCCAAACCCAGACTTTTCAGGGTATAAGCAAAGCCTTCTTCTCCCAGGACTATTCTTTCTTTTCTCTTTTTCTCTTTGTCCTCATCTATCTATAGTGCCAGAACTGCTGAAATTATTCTTGGTTTTGCTTAGCATTATCACAGCAGCTTTCTTTCCTCTTGCTGCTTCCCTCCACTACAAGGGTATTCTTGCACATATTGACTCCTTATCCTCTTTCCATTTTAGCTTCCCAGATTTCTGGTGCTTGCAATATGCAGCAGTTTCTGACTGCTTCCACCACAAACTCCTATTGCAAACATACCACCAACATTCGTTACTGAGTACATTCTTCTGGGAAACTAAGCAGCAGTGAAGAAAATCTTAATTTATCTTTCCCCGTCCTTGTTTGCTATACACTAAATATGCTGTGAGTTTTTTAGAAAAACATGTAGAACAAGGGAGAGAATTAGAAATTATTTATTTGGTTAAAAGAGTTGAGACAAACTCCCTATATAAGAAGTAAAAGTTGGGCTATAAAACTTTGCCTACCAGTTGAAGGAATGAATCACCTAAAACTGAAGAAACAAGACCCAGTGCAACCAATCCCAGCTGAAAATCATTGCTCTGCCAAGAATTACTGTAGCAGTGTATGGGTCTATGGACATTCCTGTTTGACTACATTGATCAATGAAAAAAACTCCACTTTGGTCATTTATGCTGAGTTGAGTTTCACACTGTGTCAGTTTTTCTCCAAGAGAACTTTCAAGCCATGGGGAAGATCTGCAGGTCTTATAGGACTGCTGCAGGAATCATATGTCCAGTGAACCCTCTGAGGGGAGAAACATACACAGTGAGGGAAGGGTATGCCATGTACCCTTGAGCTCAGCCTGTTTCCACAGAGCTCAAGACACTCAACAGACTCATTAAAACTGCCAGGACTCTCTTCAGCCAGACAAAATTGCACCAGAGTCCACACATACTATGGACAGTCTTGCTTAAAGGATTTCATCGATAGGAAACATTCATCACAGGGGCTTAGGTGATCTTGGGGGCTGCTTTGATTTTACATGCGATGGATACAGCGTAAGAGGGATTATTCAGTTGTGCAAATATTCTCACTACCCTGTTTTGTGGTCAGTTACAATTGTGTGAAGTATCTCAGGAGCAGTGAACTGGGGACCACTGATGGAAGCTTGAAAAACGTGTATTTTCAAAAGAAACTGATATTCCAACATGGAAAAAATACGTCAGGTAATATAGCCACAATTTGAGAGATGATAAGCATCATTATGTGTACCTTTTATAGGCATTACATAGCTTTAAGGTGAAGAAGTATGTTTGGTAGTTATTAAGGCATGAGATGCTGCAGCACAAGCTGAAAAGTAAAAGCTACCATTATAGAGAACTTTGAAAAAAGAACTGGTAAAGTGGCTATGATTAGATGACAGGAATGAGTGGGTAGAGGGTAACAGTGGGTGGAGAGAGGATCTATTAAGAGATTTGAAAAACAAGAGAATATACCAACAGAAAACTGCGAGTTAGCAAAGGTGAAACAAAATAGGAGTTTGTGGTGTCTTTCAATCTTAAGAACAGTGACATTACATTCTGCTTTACTTACAAAGTCATCCCAGATAACGTACCTATTTCTGCTTTTTTATCTTTTATTAGGTAAGGTGCAACTCCTTTAGACCAGAATCTGCGAGAGAGCAAATATATATTGGAGCTCACAGCCCTCCTCAGTTCAGGTAGTGCAAATAATATATTTACTCAGTATACATACAGAATCAATCACTATAGCATACAAGTGCAGAAATTTAGCGTGTTAAGAGGGGTTTAAGAGCAAACACAGAATTGGACTGTGCTCTTGGCTTAGATTGAAATTGAACTGCTTTTATTAGCTTACCTTTCGCTATAACAAATGCTCTTCTGCAGAAATGAGGCACTTGCATCTGCCTTCCAAAGCAGTTGAACCAGAACACATTCTGATCCCTGTGATGTCCTGTAATCGTGGCCTGAGTATCTAAAATGTCTCATCTATCACTTTTTTTTTCCTGTGCAATTGTAGTTTAGAAAACAGTAAATATTAGGAGGGTTCTTGATTCGATCTGCCTGAGTTCATTAAAATCTTTAAAGTGAGTATCTTGAATTATATTGATAATGCAAAGCATAACATGTCCTGTAAGTTCAGTTCAAGATTAAATTCCTCAGTTGGCCTTCAAGAGACACTTTGCTGGAAAGAGCTGTGGTAGTTCAGCCATAACATCTGTTTCTTTACCCAAAATGCCTCCCCCAGGCTCCCCTAACCATAGACATCCATGAACCTCAAGAAGAAGAGGCTGGAAAAGGGGGAATGTTTAAAGACTACATAAGAATTAGGAAGCCGGAGTTTATTTTTCTGCTTCTCCATAGAGTTTGTGTGACCAAGAGCAAGTTGTTTCTGTCGGAATTCGTGTCCGTTGCGTTTATGTAACTAAGCATTGTGTGTTTGTCCTCATTCAAGTGCTATATTACATCTGTATTTGGGGGAAGGTTGTTAAGTCCACAAGCTGGTTCATAATGGAGGTGTCTCCAATACACTGGATTAGTTGCCTTCTGGAGATTACTACCACTTTCTGTTCACTAAAAAGGGAGCTGGGATCCCACCCTCTCCATGGCGAAATTTGGGTGACTTGAGCGCCCCTTTGCCTTAGTTCCCTCTTGGTCAAGTAAATATAGCAGCACTGCCTTCACAGGGGAGCTGTGAGGTTGCTTCACAGGTACTCTGACATATTCCCTGGACACAGACAGGTCAAAGCCGAAGACATAAACATGGCATGCATGACACACCTTGGGCTACTTATAACCAGAACGGGTTAAGAAATAATGGAACTGGAAACATGATGGCACAAAATGAATATAAGCTAGCTTGCAGAGGTGTATGCTTGGTCTTGGTAGAAAATACATCCTGACAATGAGGACAGGAGTATCAGGCTGATCTTCAGCCTACAAAGCAATATTTTTTTATAATCCCTGTCTGTGTTAAGATTTTGGTAAAATAACTATCTCTTGCCTTCTAAAGTCCTCGGATTTATGTGCCTATATGTATATTTATACATTCTGAATCATTACATAGCTACATTCCTACGAGATGGTGCAAATCACAAAATTTAGGGGGAAACCAGGGGATGGATCATTCATGAGGAAACCTCACAAAGGAATAGGGCTAAGAAAGAAAATTCCAGAGAAGATTAGACAAATTTGGGGTCTAGAAGATACAGACAAACCTTTTTCTTAGTTTTTATGTGAGATACTAAGGACAGGCTTCTGTTTCAGACCTGAAGAGAAACTGTGGTCCTTCTCTCTTCTTGCAAATCATAACAACTGGGCTAACAAATTATATTACCTAATTCTCCCAACTTTTCTTTACTTATGTCCCAAGATCATTATAACAGTGGTACAGCTGGTTTCAACACTGACAGCTCTTGCTATCCAAAAAGCTCAATCAGCTCTTTTTAAAGTAATTATAAAAAGTAGCTATAAAAGATGATAGAAATGAGCAACACGTATCCTGAGCATAGGTGTGTGCATCTGAGCTAGTCACCCTGGGTTCTCTTCACAGTCAAAAAAATAACAGACATTTTTAAAGTACCTCTCTCTCTCTCTCTCATCCTTCTGTAAGTAACAAATTTAGATTACTTAGACTCTGCAAGTACGTCTTCCTATTGACTGCCAAGGGAGCCCAGGTTGACATGTTCAGAGGAAGGTGTCTCTACTGGAGTTCAGTGGGATGAAAACCAGACAGCCCACTTTGATTCCACAGTTAACGTGCAGCAATATCAAACCACAGGTAGAAAAGTCGTGTGCATGGACACATAAAGATCTTTCGCTGGCTAGATTCTGGTGTCATTTATTTTAAATTGGCAGACTTTCAGTATTAGCATGTGTCTTTGCTATTTTTGAATGCTGGTTTCAGAGTGAAATCCCTGACATGGCACTCCCACCTACTTCAGCATCATTTCTGCATGACCAGCTCTTGCCGTTCCAGTCTCTGAATATGTATTTGCAATGTTTTTATCGTAACACTGTATATCTTATTTGAAGCCTGAGCTCATTTTGTAATTCTCCCTACAAAACTGACCTTTAGACATTTTTATGCCAGCTGACTGCAAATTTTCTTACCCACAGAAAGTCTAATCAATGTAATAAGAATGCTTTCTATCATGCTGAGATATGCTGAGAAGCTGGTTGTCTGCAGTGAAGAAAAATGCCTTCCCATTGAACAACAAAGAAGGTGGAAAGGCATACAATTAATATCTCAGTAGATACTTTTCTGCTTTTAACCCAGGATGCTGTTTACTGTAATACCATTGTAAATTTCAGGTTGGTAAATTCCAAGATGCTTAAAAGCATAGGAAAAATCAACAAACACCACAATCCCAATCTAGCAATGGTAAAATAATAATTTCTGACAGCATGAAATAATACAGACATGAAAGCAGGAGCCAAGGATGGCTGCCCACAAAAAGCAAGCTCTTCCCCTATGCCTGAAGGTGCCAGTCTGGGATGCAGACATATTGTCTAGCTTGTGTGAGGGAGGGATGTGCTGCTCTTTCAGTATCACACCATCTGTGGTGGAAGCAAGAGGGCCTGGGAGTTGATCTAGCAGAAGCCTCAGAAAATATGTTTCCAAAATATCAGAGGAGTTGAGATGCTCACAGGTGTAAGGCTGAGCTGGCCCCCGCTTCAGGCTGCAAAGTTCCAGGGACCCAGCATGATTGTGTGTGTGTACATGGGTGGCCAGAAGGTGTTGTCACAAGAATCTGGCTAGCATGAGCCAAATCAAACCACTTCCAGCACAACCACAGTGTACGCTCACACGCACCTGCCTGCTGGACTGCAGTGGTTTGGCAGGTGCTGGAAGAAGGATTACACGGTACAAGGCAACCGCTGATCTCCCACCTTTGCTGCCAAGGGTCAGATTATAATATTGTTCTAAATGACATAGTATCCACTATGCTGTTGTTTTTGTTGAGTTTCTAGCAAAGTAAGATGCTTCTCAAAGCACTGAATGAAACAAGATTGTCTTTACATTGACTTTAACTGGGAGCGCTTCTGCTGAACTTTTTGGATTTATTTGTGGAAAAATGACCTGGAAAGCCTCAAAATTCAACCTGAAGTGAACATACTGAAGCACTTACAGGTCTGTAGTGTTTCACAGAAGACGTATGCATGTTGATCACTTTTTCTTTGCAGAGTTATTGGTGCCATGAGCAACTTTGAAGAGTTCCGTAAAGCTTTTAATTGCCCAACAAATACAACGATGAACCGAGGGGCAGAATCCTGCCGGCTGTGGTAGACGTCCCATCCAGGTCTTCAGTCAAGAGGGGTCTGCAATGCAAACTGCTGCACCTGAGCTCAAGCCCACTGCTAGAGTTTCAGAATCACGTTCTGCAATCTGGAGAGTTGTTACATCAAATACATCTTCCTTATCCATGCTGATGACCTGCATGGATCTAATCACTCTCTATTCAGAGCCTAGAAACGTTCAAAATAGAAGAGGACAGGTTTTCTTTAATAGTAACAAAAAAAAAAAAAAAAAGGAACTCCTTTTACCCAGAAAACTGCTCATCTGCAGTTGCATTGCTGTTGATGGATAACTGCCATTATCAATTCTAATTCCTGATTTATAGCTGAGCAAGAGGTAAATGCTAAAATCCAGTTTTAATCTATTGCTCTGTAGGGGTGCTATGCAGAATACTCCCACAAAATTTATTCTTTCTGGATGAAGAAATTCATGAGACCTGCTATAAAGCCAGCTCTGATCTGCTGTGTGATACAGCTTTCTCATAACTTACATCGTCACTGCCCAGCATGCTGTAAATGATGTTGCATGATGTAAAGACAGAAGACTTTATATAAATTTGGTTTAATATGTCAGATTAGTGCCTCAGATTTTGGAACACTTTCAAGCTGAGAAAGCACCTCATGGTTTCCATCTGCTAGGACTAAACAGAAAGTATACTTGTCAGATCGTGGCCCATTGTAATGTTAGAACAGCTTATGATAAAAATCAATGTATGGTGAAAATAAGAGGCTTGCAGAGGGAATTCCCAGCACCATGATACTCATAAATATTACAGCAATTATTCCTGTTTCCAGTCTGGGCAGGTTTTTTTTTCACAAGGGGTGTTTTTTACCTTGTGCTGAAGGTAGCTTCACCTACATTTATTTTTAAGTCTGAAATATTATACCAAGTTTTAATTTAGGGATTTCTTAGTGTTTGGGTCTTACAGAGGAATGTAAGTAGTGTGCATGTTTGTCCTCATGATCTGGACAGGGCAGGGTGACTTGTGATTTTAAGGAGAGAAGAATATGTGACTGAAAAACAGAGGGCCAGCACCATTTGACTTGTCTGGATAAAAAGAGCAATTCAGGAGTAGAGGACTTTTAAACACAGTATACATGCAGGCCAGCTGAGTTTTTCATTTGATTTCTAACAATATTAGTAAAACCCCATATTTTATTGCAGCAAAAAAACTTTAACACATAACTATAACTAAAGGGGGGAAAAAAACAGAACCCTTTTCTTCACCAGCAGAAAGATACATATTTAACTGGTATTTATTTATACCTTGTGCATTAATTAATTTTTACATGGTGGAATCGTTTCAAAAGGAGAGAGTTTCTTTAGACTGATTTAATTACTACAAATATACATATGTCTCTGTGTGTATATACTTTTATATATATACAAAAATATATAAATTCTTCTATTTGATTAACTTTTATTTTATCAGTTTAGAAATGTTAGTAAGATAGGCTTTTTTTTTTTTTTCAAGGATTGATCAAATATTGTCCAACAGTCAAGGTGGAGGAATGTTCAACTGAAGCAAAGTTTTTGCAAATGGGGTTAGTTTCCTATGTTTCTTTGTAAAGAATGGGGACATCATGGAAACATAATTTATGGAAGGAGACAGACCCTCAAGCTACCTTCCAGAGAGAAGGAAGCAGACACCCCTGAACTCAAGGCACTGTCACTTCTTAGAAAAATATTATGTTTTGTGACCAGGACTTTCTTTTTTCAATTTTTTCCCTGAAAAAGTCAAAGTTTTTTTTTAAGAAGAAAGGCACTTTTACTTCCTTCAAGCCAGCTCTATTCCTGAGTTCCATGGATTACAGTTTGTCATTTGAATTGCTACTCCTAAATTTTTTTTCCTGAAGATATTTTTCACATAAACAGTGATGGCAGTATTTTAGTAGAGACTTTCCTCAAACAAGTAGGTATAGGTCTTGAGCAAAGTGGTAATGTTTGCCTACTAATGGGAAAGTTCCTTAGCAAACTGAGTACTGTACTGAATTCATTCCTGTCCTCATATGAGCACTGACATGGCTTGATGTTGGCTGCTTTTGATCAGCAGCACAAAGTTCAGGGGTGACATCCTGGCTGTATTGGTAGTACCAATACGGTCATTGTCCTCAAAAAAGTCAGGGCATCAACTCAAATACTTATCTAAACTTTCTAAATTATTGGACTATGCAAAGCTGGTTTCACAAAAGTCAGCTTTAAGTTTTCTGATTTTATCTCTCAGGTCAGAGATGCATTTTCAAGAGCTCCTCTCTCATGGCTGTTTTCCAGTGGGACAGATAATGTCATTTTGTGGTTTATGGGGTTGTTTCTCTGTACTGGACAGTGATTTCTTCCAAAATGCCTGATGTTTGCTGCCCCAAATGTCACTCTTGCTGCTCCTTGCTAGGCTTAGGTCTCTCATGTTCAATACCAAGGAGTTTTGAACTGTGGTATGCATATTCCCAACAGCACAAGAACCACTGCAAAACTGTTTCATCCTTTCTAGGGCATCTCCTGCAGCAAGCAGGTAGCCAGGTCCTGGGCTGGGGGAATAGCAGGGACTGGAGGGTTTGGGGGCTATACACTAGAAGGGAGTAAGAGAGGGCATGACCAGATTTTGCACCTGTATTTTAGCAATTGATAGGGGGCCTACCTGTTGCCAGGAAATCAGAAGTCCTTGCTGATGACTTGGCACATTCATCAGTAGTATCCCAGTTCTGGGAATCCTTGTTGTTGATGCAGGTTTTCAGTGCCTTGGGCTTAGGTCTTGCGTATGCCCACATGAGGATCCTGGCCTGCCTCACCTGGCCACTTTTCACCTCAAACCAAACAGCTGATGATGCAATTTACAGTTCACTCTGGAGTCAGCTATTTAGGTACCAGCTGGAAAGCAAAGCAGAAGGTAATTAAACTCATTCTTAAAACTTGGTCACCAAAGATACCCAAAACATACGATGTTTTGTGAAGGCTTTTCCTGTTGTCCCTGTTTTATCAGACTCCCTGGCCCTGCTTTGTTTTCACATTGTGCCTCCTGGGTCTATGCTAGCAATGCCTTGCTGTGTTGCTACCAAGCTCACTTATTACATCTATGCAAACAGATCCTTCATCATATATATTCTTCTCCCAGAGCTTTTAAATTGTGAAATTGTTTTGATTTTTTGTTGTCTGTTTTTTGTTTTGTTTTGTTTTTTAATTGCCAGTAATATCATGAAATGTTTCTTCCTGTTGGCTTGGTAATCTTCTCCTCTTCCAGTGATCAGGAGGAGAAGGATCACCTATGAATGAAACATTTTTACTTGTGTAAATTTGAAGAGATATTTTTCTACTGTGTAGACATAAAGAAACAATGTCTACTCCTGTCCCATGTCCCCTTCTTTGGGCCTGAAAATATGTAAACCTTTCCCTTTCCCTTTCCCTTTCCCGTTCCCTTTCCCTTTCCCTTTTCTTTTCTTGGCCCAATGCTGAAAATGATAAAACACCACCTCATACACTGTGAGTATTTCTGCTGATCACATTGTGAAAGGGTTAGCTTTACACACGGGTAGCTCTCTAAAAGGTGGCTGTGCTCTTCACCTGTGTAAACTGCTTAGGTACATCAATGACTTCTAAGCTGGGTCTGGATGCTGAAGGACCAGAAAACTCAGTTGTATTATAAAGCTCTGCCTTGTGCCCTGTGCAGGGGGGACATCAGCATTTTTTAGGTAGGAAGACTATCATGACACTAAATGTTTGAATTATTTATAAAATAATCATGTGGTTTTACATATAAATTTTCATTGAGTTTTATTCAACAAATTACAAGTTTAGAAATATATCTCACAGCAACATTTTATAAATATATGTATCTGCCTTCAAAGAAATACTGAAAGCCTGACAACTAAAGAGGCAGAACTATAGTGAGTTAAAAGGTCTTTTGTGTTCATGTCATTTAATCTGGATTTTTAGTTTGCTAGTCAGTCTATTGTACTTTTTAATTTTTCTTCTTGCATAATATGTTGATTCACTGCTTTAAAGACAATTATGTTAGCCAATAAAAGCCAAAGTGATGAAGAATTTTTCTATGCTTGCAGTATGGCAAAAGCTGCTTGACCTGTCACTGTCCAACTCTACAATGTTACTTCTGTAATATATAGTCATTATAAAATGTAATAAAGACCATAATGACATGGCCTCAGGTTCTGAAGGCTACCGTCACTGCTTGACAGACTAATAAGGACCTCCTCTCTCAGAAAGTTGTCTAGACATCTTCAGTCAGAGTTTATTTAGCTCCACTTTCCCCCACTAATCTGCTGCTGGAGACAATTAAAATGAACTGTGGATGAGGGCTGGATGCTGGAGAGATCACAGAAGGGCAGGCAGCAGAGCTTTCCCAACCAGAAGCCACCGCAGCATAAGACGGGATGGGAGAAGATCCACCTTCCTGTCAGCCTCACTTTTCTCCTTTTGTCCCGGTCTGTTCCTGTCTCGGCCCACCCTTTGTAGCTTCACCTGCTTTTCAATTGCTGTAAAGTATTTTCCGGAAGTGTTTTTAATAGGAATGATCTTGAACGGAACAATTTTGAACTGCAGCTCAGCGATCTCTCTTCCCAGCCAGCACAAAGGAGTAGTTTTTGTGCCTTCCCAGGCTGTGACTGCAGGTAGCTCAGCTTGCTGCTGTTCCTCACCATGTATTACATGAGCCCCACCAAGCATTTGTTCAAGGGCTGTTCAGGCACAGAGACCATGCCAAGGCCTTATACATTACCAATGTGGCTCTTCTGGGCTAAATGCCCTATTTCTTGGGGTCTGACCAGTTTTCTGACACTGCTTGGGTGCCTGTGAGCAGCAGTGCTGGCCCACCTCAAGGCAGCATGTAGCCTGTGAACAGTATTTGTGTCTATTGGGGATGATGGCTGAAGCTGACCTTGCGCATCTTTGGAATGATGCTCTGGGGCAACACAGCCTCCCAAAGCCCATAGCTTTGTGCAGGCAACTTCCCACACAGCTCTTGGGTTTGGGCTGGCAGAGAG